CGGGTCCCCCCCCCCCCGTTCGTATCTAGGGGTCCGACTTAAGTCGGACTGACGTAACCCGGGGACTGCCTGTATTGCAAGATTATTTTGCAGTCTTTATAAAAATGTACGGACTTCTTAGAAAAACTGTGGCCAAGACTTCAGAAGGAACTTGTAATTTAAGGTACAAAATCTGAGACTTGAGCAGGGATCAGATTTTCAGATGGTAGGAGTCTAACGCTCTCTGACAATCAGGCCTCTTGAAGATCCTTCAAGTTTCTCTCCCAAAAGATAGACACATCCCCAAATCACTAGTCATGTTAGAAAATCTTGGCCAGCGTTTTTTGCTTTATTTTACTTACTCACCATACTGAGCCGCAATTTCAAAGTCACTGACGGTTAGGGTACCTCCTTTCTCCTTATCTAGGAGGAGGAAAAATACGACACGTTTCACAGTGAGCCTGGGGAGTCAATTGTAAATGCTGGGTGCTAAGCATGTCTGGAAATTGGACCACCCACGGCTGGATCCTGCACTTCCAGAATAAGTGGAAGTTTTGCCGCTTTATTTAGATGCCTGAATACGGACGGCAAAGCTGAACTTCAGGCTGTCTTCCTTAAAGTTGGGTTTTAGCCTTACTGGGACATGGTCGACTTTGGAAATTTAGTCCATAAAAAGAAAGTCTGAAAACTGTTTCAGGTCAGACCTCCAAGGCCGACTGCCTTTTCACCTACAACCCAACCTTCTGAAAACAGTATCACAGTATGCCAACATCACCAATGGCCTCATTCCTGGGCAGCTTTGCAGAGAAACCAGATGATGTTTAAGTGGCAGAAACTCCCCCATTAGCTACCCTGCATTACAAAGAAAATCAGAAGCAAATGTACCTATTAGGCCAACTTCTGCTGCACAGTCGTAATAATAGGAGAAAGCGTAAAACTCCAAACCCTTCACTTCTGTTTTGTGCACCTTCTTGGAGAGCAGCTCTGCCACTTTGCTGGCACAGGATTCATACAGAGGCCCCCCTAAAAGAAACAGAGGGAGACCCAACAAATCACAGGCTGGTGATTAAACAGTGCGTGAGGGGGATTTCTTTGGGGGGGCCACAGGTCCCCTCGGGTCAGCAAAGCTCTCTAATTGACTAGAGACTCTGTGGAAAAAAAGAATGGCAACGTTTACTGGCTTCCATGGGAACCCGATGAGTCCGAAGAGCGGGCCCATGCAGCCTACGGTACAAATGTTCCTGAGCTGCTCCTGCAGCAGCCCAGAAGGAGATTGACTCAGAGCTACAGTCTCTCTGGTGCGCCAAGGAGAGTTAACAGCACTGGGCTGGCAGCATAAGCTCTCCAACGCACTGGAATAACTACACTGCTGGGGGCCTGGGATCAAGTCTCCACCCACGCCCCACTCTCGTTCACTGGAATAAGCCAGGGACTCACCAGGTTTCCCTGCAGAGTGTGAAGAAGAGGTGAAATGGCACACCATGCAGGGAAATACAGGGGCGCCCACACCCTCTCTTCCTAGCACACTGGATGGGTCCCCGCTTGCATTACCTCCTGAAAATGTAAACAAACTTGTTTCTCTTAGCAACTGGCTGAACAAGGAGGAGGACTGAGTGGACTTGTAGGCTTTACAGTTTTACACTGTTTTCTTTTTGACTGTAGTTATGTAACAAAAAATCTACATTTGTATGTTGCACTTTCATGATAAAGAGAGTGCACTAGAGTACTCGTATGAAGTGAATTGAAAACTATTTTATCATTTTTACAGTGCAAATATTTATAATAAAAATTAAAAGTGAGCACTGTACACCTTGTACTCTGTGTTGTAATTGAAATCAGTGTATTTGAAAGTGTAGAATCATTCAAAATATTTAATGTGTCAATTAGCCTATTTCTCAGTCCAATTAAAACGGCAATTAATCATAATTAATTTGTATCACGATTTGAGTTAATTGCATGAGTTACCTGTAGTTAATCAACATCCCTAGTTAGTAATAAGGGAAAGAAAAGCTCAGAGTGGCATGCGAATAATTAGAGAAACGCTCTTGAGCTCAAATTGAAAACAGGGCCATGGGTAGGCAAAGAGAGAGGCTGTTTCGATGGAGGAGCACTGTGGATGAAGAACAAGGCTAGGACTATATGACTGAACATCACACGGAGACACACGAGACAGCACCTGGGGTTTTCAGATCCCCTGCCCCCACAAGGCAGGAAGTTTGTGGGAACAGCAGTTTCTGCAGTGAAATCTCATTGGCCATTGCAGAAAAGGCTGATTTGCTGTGAGCATAAATGGCTTGGAAACCCTCCCACAGCCAGACCGTCAGCTGGTGTGAACCAGCCCCGATAGGCTGCAATAGCAGCCTGCTGATTTGCCCCAAGTGTGCGAGACTTTTCTCTGGCGCCATCCCACAGCACAGCTCCCGCCAGTGGCAGCCGTGACGGGCGCGCTAGTGCTCTTGCTGGAAGCCATCACATTATGCAGCCAGGCTCTGGCCCAGGTTTGCCAGCGTGGTTTTCAAATTGCCATTGACTAGTCTACATTAGGGCTCCCCCATCACAGGCTGGAGCAGACGGGGCGTGGGCAACAGGAGGAAAATCTCCTATGCGGGAACTGCCTGAGGACAAAGCAAAGTTAGCGAGTAATGTAGCGAGCGAGAAGCTTGCAGAGGGAGAGCCAGCGAGTGCATGCTGTTCGTGCTGACTGTCCCACGCCAATCTAGAGCGTCACAGAAGTTCCTCTACCTGCCTTCTGCCCTTTGACTCGGTACACGATTTCAGCATGTTCCCACTCCCACTGGAAGCCAGGTGACAAACAGGGGCTCATTAGCACCTCGCCTTCCTTTACTGGAATAGAAACAGACGAAGCAGCATTAAGACATGCTCAGGAGCCAGGTGCTGATCCCGCCGACCCTCACCACACTCCTACTCAGCAGTAGCTTCTAACCCACTCCCAGTCTCAACACCCCGACCTCTCTACGGACTGGTGATGGCACCCCTCTGCCCGCACCCATCTCATGGCAGATGTGCCTAGGCACAGCATGGTCCCATCCACAGCCCAGGCAGCTGTGGGTAGCAAGTGAACACCCCCCAATAACGGGCGATGCTCCTGTGGCCTTGAGCATGGGGTCGGCACCCTGGGGGGTGGGCACAGCAAAGTTACTGGGAGTGCACGAGGACCGGATGCGAAGCAAAACATTCCCACATCCTTGCCATTCTCCGAGGAGCCAGAGCCGCCGATGGCATCGCCCCGCTGCAGGCTGGAGAAGCGGAGGCAGCTGGCAAGGGAGAGCAAGCCGAGCCCAGGCCGCAGCAAGCAGCAGTGTCCAGGCCACCGAGGGGAGGAAACAGCTGGACCAAGATCACGGCCTGGCTGTGGGGAGAGAGGCGGCAGCAGGCGGGGAGAGAGAGCAAAGGGAGAGGGGTGCCATGCAGAAGGCTTGGAGGTGGGGCAAGAGGGGAAGGAAACGGTAACACAAGAAACATGGATCTCCAAAAGGGGCAGAGCAAAAGAAGTCTGGGATCACCGGCCCCAAGGAAAAAGCCACTGAAATGGAAGAGCTCTGAGTCTGGTTACTTACAGGCTCGTCCCTCAACGCCTCCTAAAATGGCAAGCCTTGCTGACATTAACCCAAGGCCCAGGTAACTGTGAAGAAGAAGAGCCTCTGTGAAAGAATCCATCCCTCTGGTACCAGGCTGGCAGCCCGCTCGGGACACGCGCGTCACGTCTGTTTGCAGGAAGGTTCCTGCAAGTCGCCACGACTCAGCGGCTGACGGCTTGCGTGTGGCTTGAGCGAGCGCGTCCAGTGG